TGTAGGGAAGCCTAGAAGTGTTTGAGTGAAAGCATAGGAACCCTATTGCATTCAGAGCTTTGAGGTGAATGTCTCTAGGTGATCTCCCATAGTGAGCTCCCCAGAAAAGACAAAAAGATTTTAGACCAAACTTAAAAAAAACCCACACTACCCAAAACTTTTACATTTTTTTAATGAAAACTTGAAATTTAAAGACAGGCAACAACATGGCTATATCAGGCTAGCTGTGTAGAGGTACTGCTTATGTACCTATTTAAATTGATAGATAGATACCCTTTTTAAATACAACTAAATTAAATATTTGTATATGGTCTTTGTTTGTATGTATCCACAGAAGTGTTTAGTATTTGTATTTATACATGAGAATTTCCTTGCTCAAAGGAAGTGGGCAGAGGTGTTCAGGGGTGACATGGGCATGATGGGGTCAGAACTGGCAGCCAGTCACAGAGCACTGTAAAAGACTGGGTCTGATGTTACCGAACTTGACAGCTTTTTACCAAAAGTTTCTTAATTAATAGCTTTTCTGGGCACTAGCTATTCTATGAGGCCTGGATACAAAGGCTGTTTGATTAGCATTTCTGAGAGAATTGGTCTGTGTCTTTGGTCAGGCTGCCTGACCTCTTACTTTTTTGGAATGCCCTCTGGCCCGGTTGAATGGATAGTCTCAGAAGTGGGAACACTCTAGGTCACTGTAGAGCTGGAGGTAGTTTTAAGTTACTATATTTACTATGCTATAAGAAAAACAAACAAAATTGCATATTTGTGGATTTTTTTCTTTTCTCTTACAGGTGGAAAAACCAATCAATTAATTCTTCAAAGCACTGCAACCAAAGCAATTATTCAAGGTCTTATTCCAGATCAAAACTATGCTCTTCAGATCATTGCATTCAATGAAGATAAGGAGAGTAAGCCAGCACAAGGCCAATTCAGAAGTACGTGTCTTTAGGCCTGACATACAGAATTTATCAGATATTTAATGTAACTTATGAAATTGTAATCAAGTCTGACACGAAGCAGGACAATGGAAAAAGAGTTTCTTCCGTGGTGGAAGGCTCATGAGAGCACAGATTTTACATGGTACATATACAGCTGGAGGCCTGAATTGATTCAGTTGATCTTGTACAGGAGATTCTTGCTTTGGGCTGTCTTTGTTTACATTGGTTTGGAATCACTTTCTTCCCCATTCCATTATGAAATTAGCCAGTATCTTGTGGAAGAGAATCTTCAGTGAGTGGAAACAAGACGGGAAGTGCTATATTCTGATACTTAAAAAATTTCCTTCCTTTCATCCAACTTTTTATTAAAACATTCTTATAGCTGTGCCAGCTGGCAACTAGTTGCTAGCTCAATGATACTATGAAAGGCTAAATTCTTACTGGTCTTCAGCTGTCAAATATATTTACAAATTATGCTCAAGGCTATATCTGACCTACACATACTCTTAATGTCTGAATCATAGTGATAGAGATGTCTTAACTGATTTGTCTTGATCTGAATCTTAAACAGATCAGTTAACTATTGTCAGTGGAGTTCTGGTCAATAAAGATAAAAATGACAGTCTGGGAGTACAGTTGAAAGCCTACTGATTTCCCCTTGACACTGAGTTATTTATCAGTAGCATTGCTAAAACCACCTTTCTCTTAGAACCAGCACAAGATAAAATATGCTGAGTGCTTGATGTGGTGTGTGTCCAAGTCTTTCTAGCTTTTCATCACAGCAACTGCTCTAAGTTCTGTCCGTGTTAGGAAACCCACAAAACCACAGATTACTTTAGCATTAAAGAGCAGCCCACAGAAAGCTATGCCAGCTTCTATAATATTAGGTGTGGCTTTTTTTTTTTTTTAAACTGCCTCTATTTTTCAGGGCATGTAGAGCCAGCAACTTAAGAATGTGCAGGTTATGTTCTATTTACTATACTCTTTCTCTGCTGCAAGTGAAAACATGTAGTACTAAATGAGGCTGGATTTCATTTGACAATACAATGCCTTGCATGAGTAAAACCAGATACAGCATGTATATGTATACTTCATTTTTGCTATCCTGTATTTTGTATTTTTTTCCTCATCTCTGACAAGTGGTCACTAATTCTTGAGATGAAAAAAGGTCAAACATATTCAAAGCTTTGAGAATATTCTTTGGTTTAGTGCTTTGGAAGTAGGTTTTAAATGCTGTTGAGCTGTATAAGGAATTTTCAAGCCTACAATAAAAATTGATTGTTAAAATAGTTTTCCTCTTTATATAGCCAGGTATGCTTTCTTATTCTAGTGCTGCTTGTAAGTTACTGTACATAGTATGTAATTAACAAAGATCACTGGAGAATTTTTTCCTTTTAAAATTCAGCTGTAAAAACATACACTAGGAAGGTTTTTTGTCTGTGTAAATATGAGCTTGGAACAGGCTGCCCAGAGACACTGCGAGGGCTCCATCCCTGGAAGTGTTCAAGGGCAGGCTGGATGGGGCTCTGAGCAGCCTGTTCTAGTGGAAGGTGTCCCTGCCCATGCAGGGGAGTTGGAACTCAATGATCTTCAAGGTCTCTGCCAACTCAAAAATTCTGTCATTCTGTGAGTAAAACTCCTGTCTTCTTGTCCTTCCTATGTGATTGGAATTTTGACCGTTAGAAATGGCTTTTCCAAATTTGTAAAGCTGTCAGGATGTGACCAACTTGTCTCCTGTGTGCGTTTTCAGACTTTTATGCAGTTTCTCTGGAGACTTGCTGCTCAATAGCACTAGCATTAGAGGAAGCCATCAAGCAGCTCCTTAGCTTGCTCTTAGCCTTTTCTCAAAGCCATGCTCTTAGAAGGTGGAGCAATGACATCCTTTGATTTATTAGTATTATTCTGGCTATTTAATCTCTCTTATTTTAGTTGGAGACTTGTCTAGGAAAACCTAAAAACTTAAACCCAGGCTTCTGAGTAAGATCAAGTGTCATCATGGCTTTATCTGTAACTGAGCTAATAACCAAGGTCTACCTGACTCCTTGACTCCCCATCAAGCTTGTGGACCTGAATTTGCTTCTCAATCAGTTTCACAACTTTTTTTCTGAAGGTAGAGCTGATGTACAGGCACACATGCTGTGTTAGTGAGGAGAGGAGTCAAAACTTCAGTTATGTTTTCACCAAATTTTTTTTTTTTTCCTCTATACATAGATTGCAAGAGCTGTAGGTCCTGCAGAGGGTTATCACACTGAGAAGGCCACACTCCAGTGTTTAACAATGGCTTATTGTCTTCCTAAGACTGTAGGATGGTCTTGTGATTATATTTTGGATTGGAACTTAGTGCATTCTTGTCTGTTTCAGATAATCCGTACACTATTGGGTAAATTAATGAAATCTGTTTGACTTTGGTTCCACTTCTGTAAAACAGAATGCTTGTCTATTTTAAATCCTATGTTTCAAGAGACAGGTAACCTTTTATCACCTTCTCACAGTTTTTTTTGAACGACGTAGCCCAGAGACACTGATCCTAGCTGACATTCAGTGCCTGCTTAGATGATTGCTGATCATAATGCAGCTCTACGTAAACTGCAGATTTTAATTGGAGTAGAATGTTGCTGCTATTAAAGATATTCTCCATTTTGTTCTTTTAACCTGTTCCCGGCCATTGTCGACACCAATTACCGTTCTAAGCAACTTCTGAAGGGTTTATTTTTTTTAGCAATTATTTTGCCATAATATTTCAGACTATGAGTAGAGTAATACTGCCTACTAATGTAATGTTAGGAATTGCTGATCAAGCTGTGTTCTGCTAGGCTCTTATGAGACATTTGGGACATAATAAGGGAGGTATCCCACTCACTTGTGGGTCAGGAAACTGTTGAATTCTAAGCTTTCCAGCAGCTTTGCTCTCATGGGAGCATTTTGTGCCCTGGACATAGATTTGGGCATGGGATCTAAGCTGATGCTTTAAAAAGGATAGTGTAACAGCTGGCTTATGTGCTTTTGTGTTGAATGACTTGGAGTGCAACTCTGCAGTGCTGGACTTTCCCCAGCTAGCTTTGCCAATTTTCTGGACTATATTTCCAGTGCTGGATCATGTCATCATGGTCTTAGGTGCTGATGTCACTGTATTTGGACTCTTCTGTGTGAGAAGGGTCACTTTTGAGAACTTTAATGATGATAGGAAGGGGAAAGATTCATAAAGAGAATAAACCCAAAGGGTGAGAGGGAAAACCCAGTAACATTTACTTGTTACCTAAGCTTATTGCAAGATGTTGTGTGCAATTTCTTTATCAGGAAGAAAAAAATTACATGGTTCTGACTGCACTGTTTCTAGTCTGATTATTTTTCCCCTCCTTACTTTTCAGTTAAAGATATTGAGAGAAGAAAAGAAACAAGTAAATCCAAGGTGAAGGATCCAGAAAAAACAAATACGAATAAACCAGCTCCAGAAGGTCAGATCATAACATGTGACTTGTGTGATATTCTGAAAATAATCAGCTTTTTTATTTAGCTTGGCTATTGTGTAGATTTTTCTTTAAGTCAATAACTTAAATCTGGTTCCCAGGGTTAAGTTAAACAGAAGGGAAAAATCAGTATTTTTGGGGATATTGGAGAGTTGCTCCAACAGAGGTATTACTCTTAGTTCTGTGTTCTGCTTTACTGCTTTGTGTAGGAAGCACTAAATACCACCTTGAGCAGCATAAAAGCAGTCTTTGAACCTTCATTAAAGAAATCATACTGCCTGTGCTTCTCCACTGAGTGCTCTTTTAGTAGTGAAGAATCGTGTGTTTGCATGTGTCTATGCCTAGTAATTCTTACCATAGTGGTTGCAAGACAGACTTGCAGTATTGATTCCCACCTAAGTTCAAATATGTGGTATTGTATAATCAGGCACATAATGACTTGGTAACTCTGTCCTAATGTAGGTCATACATATGAAAACATTTAATAGAATAATCAAATGGTTTGGGTTGGAAGGGACCTTTGAGATCATCTAGTTCCAACTCCCCTGCATGGGCAGGGACACCTCCCACCAGATCAGGTTGCTCAAGGCCCCATTCAACCTTGCCCTGAAGATGTCCAGGGAGGGGGCATCCACAACCTCCCTGCGCAACCTGTTCCAGCATCTCACCACCCTCACAGGCATAACGTTTTCCTAATGTCCAGCCTGAATCTCCCCTCTTTAAGCTTCAAACCATTTCCCCTTGTCCTCTCACTACACACCCATGTAAAAAACCCCTACCCCAGCTTTCTTGTAGGCCCCCTTCAGATGTTGGAAAGTTGCTATAAGGTCACCACGGAGACTCCTCTTCTCTAGGCTGAACAACCCCACCTTCCTCAGCCTGCCTTCATAGGGGAGGTGAAATATTTGAAATATTTGGAGGGAAAAATGACAGAGTTCAGTTTGGTTGCAAGGAGCTAATATTCTACTGAAATGTGATATTGCTTGTCATGAGAAGCTTGTCGAGTATGGACAGCAAAATCTATTTCAAGCTTAATATATAACTCTATTTCCTGTTATTCTAAAATTCAAATAACATCTCCCTTATGAAGTAACCCCAGCAGTAATTATTCCCTTCAGTGGTTATTTATGATGTACAGAGCAAGTACAGACGAGAATAGCTTTATATGACCTTAAATAGTCTTTCTGTGAATAAATTGGACAGTTTCAAGGATCCCATTTCTGCTGTTCCTTTTAGCTGTCTCCTACTAATGCAACTATCAAGGACCTCAACCTAAGCTCCTTGAAGCCCATACTCATTTTCCTGACTTCAATGGGTTTTTCATCTTACCGTACATGCTTGTGTTATGTTATATCTATTAACACCAGACAAGTTTGTTTCCATACAGCATTTCTCAAGCCAAAGCACCCTTGAATTTGTCACATTTTAGTGCATTGGGGAAAATATTAGCTAGTATTTACAATGCTTAAAGAAGCAAGTTATATCTGCTAGTGCACAATGAGGTAATGAGTAGGTGATCTTTCATTTCTGGAGGAAGGTTAAGTTGGAAGAGATGGAGGACTAAAGAGGCAACATGTGATTTGTTTTCTTAATGAAACACAAGTGATAGAAGTAGAAGGAGGGAAAACTGGGCCTGTAATAGGAAAATGTTGATTAAATGCAGACAGAGGAAAGTGTCTGCCAAACTGTGGGAGAGGATTTATGCTCTTTTGTGGAGTAACAGCAAAAATACTTTTGGCAAGAAGAGACAGGATCTGCAGTCTTTCCTTTTTAGGATGCTTGTTTACTTGCAAAGCCTTTAGCTCAATTGCTTTCCTCTGCCTTACACAGCTCTTTATTCATCTAAACTTTGTTCAGTTGTATCACAGTAGTTTGTATCAGCAAAATACACTTCTGCCTAGAAGCCTAGTGAAATACTATAGCCTTACTCTTTCTGGGGCAGGTTTTACTAGAAAATGAGGGTATATGTTTGAAAGAACAGCAAAACATATTAACTTCTTAAATGGCAAAAGCAAGTAACTTCTTGATCAGTAGAACGGACCAAAAATACAAAAATGCTATGCTGATTTTTATGAATTCTTGATTTTGTTTAGCTCTATTCCCAATTCAGCTATATTTTAATGTAAAGTAATAAAGGTTTTTCCTACTAACTAGCAGAAGCATATTTCTTTCCTCTGCAAAGTATAGTGATTATTCAAAGTAGTGGAGATTCCAACTGAATGACTTCAGTGGGAGTAGAGTGAGAGTCCAAGCAAAAATCCTGTGCAGAAATAACAGCATCAGCAAAAAAAAACAAGCATAGTTAGGATGGAAGTGAATTCAGAACTGATAAACAAAGACTAATGGTATCAAAAACTTTCCTAGTTTAGTAGATAAGGGCTGTGCCTTCTGTGAATGTCTACACCTCTTCTTATAGAAGTGGTTTTATATAAGAACAGGGTGTTTTTGCAGGAGTTAGAAATACAAAGGTTGTCAGACATTCTCCTGCATATGGAGAACTGTCTGGCAAAATTCTCTGCTGTGACTGTTAGAATAAATATGGCATTAGTGGCCATTTAATCTAAAATCAGCATTTTGGGACAAAACTACTGAAGTGTAGTAATACACTTGTCGAAGTACATGAGAAGGACATAATAATATATATTTATTGTTTATAAATACTTAGCTAATTTGTTTTCTTCAGAGTTCACATAAAAAAACCCAGAAATCTCACTTTCCATTTCAATGGGACAGAGGTTTCACCATAACACTTCCAGTCATAGAAAACAGCTCTCTACAAGATGGATACCTATGTTAATTATTCTCACATTTCTTTTAATCTGTAGTTTGGAGGACTGATTCTGCAGTCCACGATTTGATTACTGACTGTCTAAGGCTCTAGGTGGTGCTGGGTTGTGTGGATGTCTTCTCCTAACCTCCAAAATCTACCTCTTTCTTCTGTCTCAAAATTATTTTGTATCTGAGTTTTGCTCTGTCTTTATGAAAGTCTGTCAGTGGATTGTATGTCTTGCTAATAGTTTTTTCAGCAGCTTGAGTAACCTGGATTAAAATTTTCCATCTATTGTGTCCTGCTCATTCAAGTAGTTTGAAAAGATTTAGTCCTTTCTTTCCTGCTCTTAAGTACTATTCCCTTATCTGAAATAATCCTCCAGTGTACATTCAGTAATGTCATTGTGCCACCAAATTAATTCAGGTTTTTATGCCTAACACTCATCCATCAAATGTTTAGGTTATGTTTGATTTCCAGAAACCTGCTCAAGTTCTTCTGCATTACCACTTTCAAGTCTTGAAACTTCTTCAATTTTTCAGAACCTGTCAGCGTTCAGCTTAGTGATTTATCACTGCTGCACACTCATATTAATAACATCAGAAGCCTTTTCTCTTTCTCTCTGTTGAGATAAACTTCACAGACTTGGCTCCTTTCAGCACACACTGATATTTGAGTGCTTGTGCCCTGGCACTTCTCCAGCTCCCTCAAGTACAATGCTCCTTTCTGCACAGTGACAGGGGTTAATACATTCTGTACCTTCTCAGATGTTATGCAGTTTCTCAAACAGTTTCTACAGGTGATTCTTTTAATCAAATCCCTTTGGGGAGAGGAGAATCCCAGTGTTTTGATTATGTCCTGGGGTAAATATGCAACTATATCCTTTCTCTGCAGAATCTTTCTCTGTGTGTCAGATATATTTTTAACCACCCATTTCAATAAAAGCAGCAAAACACTGGGGACCAGTTTTATTTTCTTGCTTGTGGACTTTATTTTGGGGCTTTTACTTGAGAGGGGTGGTGGGGTAGCCTAGGCTGGCAGCCAAACTCCCACTTAGCTGCTTGTTCACTCCCTTCCCCAGCAGGACAGGGGAGAAAATAGGAGGAACAGGAAAGAAAGAGCTCATGGGTTGAAATAAAGACAGGGAGACTGTTTGCTGATTACCATGGTAGGCAAACAGAGTCAACTAAGGGAAAATTTACTTAATTTATTGCCAATTAAAATAATCTAAAAAAATGTTGCTAATGTGGGGAAGTGGGCTGGGGGCTGGGAAAGACAAACATTAAAATAACAGCTTTCTTCCTAGCTTTCCCAGGCTCAACTTGACCTTCTCCCAGACTCCTCCTCCCTTGTTATCACTGCAGGTTACACTCAGTCCAAGTCCCATCAGAGCAGAAGCAAGCAGTGCAAAAGGGATGTTGAGGGGTTATGACCAAGACATGGTGGCTTCTCTCTGCCATTCATGTCTTCTGCAGTGTGGGTCCTCTGCAGGCTGCAGGGAATATCTGCTCCACCATGGAGCACCTTGTCTAGCCTTGAGATTCCCATTGCTATTTCTCACTTTTTTTTTTTTTTTTACCCCCCCCTCCTCCTCTCTCAGCCTGGCATTTTCTGCTCTTGCTTGAATATGTTTTCCCTGAGGTGACACCAGCTGTGTACTAGCATGGGTGGCCCCTGGCATCCTCTCAAAAAAGCCACCCCTCCAGCCTCCCTGCTCCCAAACCTGAGCATGTGGACACTCAGTACTAGAGATGATCTATCAACTCTTTAGTAGAGTAAAACACACATTCTTAAACCTGTCTTGTTCAGAAATTTCCTTTTGCAAATCTCAGATTGGGATGATTTAGGACAGCACAAAATACTGACCAGATTTCTCTTCTGAATCAAGTTTTTGCAGGGTGAGCCTTCTACAGACGGTAGACTCTTGAAACTGAGAAATAAGCTTTCTTAACAACTGTGATTTATGTATGATGCAATGTAATAGTTATTTTCTCATTGTAAAATGCATGTAATATAGTCATATGGTGAGTATGACTTCTCAGGGAGGTCAGCGATCCTCTCTGCACAGCACAGAACATGCTGGTTAGTTCAACTTTCCCAACTGAAATTTGTATTTCATCCCTGGAGCAATTCCATTATCACAGAATGATTTGAGCTGGAAGGGACCTTAAAGATTATCTAGTTCCAAGCCCCCTGCATGGGCTGGGACACCTCCCATTAG